GTGGTGGAAGGTGGACAAAATGTCAATTATAGGAGGGGATGCCTTTAAAGGTTAGATAGAGAGATGAACTGAAGGGTGGAGGGAGGGACGGAGTTGGTGGGGCGGTTGATAAGTCAGAGATGAAAGGTATGGATAAATCATGTGGATTTATAGATGGAGGATAAACTATTTTGTATTTAAAGATAACTGCAAGATGGAAAGAGAGGGAAAAAGAAGTAGAAGAAGAAGAAGAAGAAGAAGAAGAAGAAGAAGAAGAAGAAGAGAGACACAGAGAGAGAGAGAGAGAGAGAGAGAGAGAGAGAGAGAGAGAACGAAATAGAGAGAGGGAGGGAGAGAAGTAAAGAAACTGACAGAAAAATTAAGAGAAGCACATGCTGCGATAGAATAAAAGACACAACTTAAGAGAAAAGAATGAAGGCAGGAGAAAGAAAAAGAATTAAGAAAAATGTCAAATAAATATAACGGGAAGGAGAAGGCATCAGACAAAGGGGTAGACCTGTACACAACAGATACTTGAGACGCTCGCCTGCAAGCCCAAAGGTCTTGGATTCGAATCCGTTTGGAGTTGGATTTTTTTTTAATCACCAATTCAACCCAAACGAACATATGTTCTGGGAATCCGTACACAGAAAATTGACTGAGTAATTGCACAACTCTCCAGTGTGTGTAACTACTTTTATATTTGTTCCAGGCATACGGGTGTTTATGGCAATGAAAAAGCTGAATGATTGGCAGGTTATACGTTAGTTGCAGATAGCCTGCCTATGGAGCATGCAGACATTGTCAATGCCCTTAAAGAGATAGGGCGTTTCTTCAATGCCCTTAGAGAAATAGGACGTTTCGTCAATGCCCTTAGAAAGACAGGACGTTTCGTCAATACCTTTAGAGATCTATGACGTTTTGTCATAGCTATTAGAGAGATAGGACGTCTCGTCATTGCCCTTAGAGAGATAGGACGTCTCGTCAATGCCCTTAGAGAGATAGGACGTTTCGTCAATGCCCTTAAAGAAATAGGATGCTTCGTCATTGCCCTTAGAGAGATAGAACGTTTCGTCAATGCCATTAGAAAGAGGAAGTTTCTTCAATGCCCTTAGAGAGATAGGACGTTTCGTCAGTGACCTTAGAAAGATAGGAAGTTTTGAGAAATTAGGAAGCAACGTGTCCACATCACTGTTAAGAATATAAGAACTGGGATTTAAAATCAGCACGGCCAAGCAAGAGGAGTAAACCGGACGCACAAGAAGTCTTGTCAATTAGCATAGGACTGGCACTATTACCGATCGTGAATCTGAGCACCTACAAATGTATCCGGTGTAATATAAAATAATCCGACTCATAACTCATGTTCTGGGAAGTATAGGCGATCGGCAAGATGTTGACCATACCACCTGCCGGGTACTGATTGCATATATGAGTCCAGCATCATATGTTCGATGTAGGGATCTCCTTGGCGAAGTGGTCAAGTCGTTTGCTTCGCGCTCTAAATGTGGTGGATTCGTTTCATGGCGGCGCCGTTTAGTTTACGAGTGCAATTATTACAGAAATCCCAGGGGATCGTAGCCGGAGCTACGAAGGTCGTTCTCTATGCGGCGCTATTGACAGGCTGCTAACTGTTTTGCGGAGAGAGATTGAGCCATTTGGGATAAAACCCGATGCAATGAAGTAGATCCTCTCACCTTTATGTCCGATTCAAGACTGTTATGGAAAGAGTCCGGTCCGTTAGTACTTTTTCATGTAACAGCTGCTCTGAACTCAAAGAGTTAAAAACTGTAAGAGCTAGGCCACGACCGGCTCCAACTGACGGCCCGTGCTGCTGACGTCACCGTGTCGAGCTAACGGTGCATTATCGCAGCGGTTCTCAAACAAAAAATAAACTATTTTCGACAGTGCCGGAGAAAGACAACTTAAATGTTAACTTTTACGTATCTACATGATTATTTTAATATTTTCACAATTAATTGCTGACTCTTCTTGATTATTGCCGCCGCCCCAGGCCTACGCTCACTGCAACTCAGGGATCCCGACACCCAGTTTGTGAACCGCTGCGTTAACACATTGTTAGCCCGACCCGGTGATGTCAGTAGCACGGCCCGTCAGCTGGAGCCGGATGTGGCCGAGCAATGATTTCATTTGCTTACTTTTTTTTCTTAGGACTATCCAACTCTAACCTAGATTGGGAGAACCTTCAGAAGCGTATATGTCAGCACCTGGCGAGGCCACACACCTGGCGTGCGTGCATGTGAGTGTGTGGTGTGTGAGTGCGTTCATGTGTGTATATGTGTATGAGAGAAAAAGCATGGATCTTGACAGGGCTGGAACCCCAAAGACAAACAATCGCCGCACACATCAACCTGTCATAAACTGTGAAACTACATCGATGACATTTAAACGTGCAAGGAGAGATTAATACAGTGGGTGGCCTATAGCAGGGCTTCCCAAATTATGCGACAGCGCCCCCTGGTTTTGGAGAGAAGGGAGCGTCGGTAATGCTTAAGAAAAATGGGATATTCGGTTGGGTCCTTGAGATTGGATGGCACTGGATGAAAATAAATAGGCGATGCAATCCTTGCTGAACTTTGCTTTGCTTCTTTGTTCTCCTTAAAAATATACTTAATTTAATCTCACGTTCTTCTTCTTCTTCTTCTTCTTCTTCTTCTTTTTTTCTTCTTCCGTCCGTCCGTCCGTCCGTCCGTCCGTCCGTCCGTCCGTCCGTCCGTCCGTCCGTCCGTCCGTCCGTCCGTCCGTCCGTCCGTCCGTCCGTCCGTCCGTCCGTCCGTCCGTCCGTCCGTCCGTCCGTCCGTCCGTCCGTCCGTCCGTCCGTCCGTCCGTCCGTCCGTCCGTCCGTCCGTCCTTCCTTCCTTCCTTCCTTCCTTCCTTCCTTCCTTCCTTCCTTCCTTCCTTCCTTCCTTCCTTCCTTCCTTCCTTCCTTCCTTCCTTCCTTCCTTCCTTCCTTCCTTCCTTCCTTCCTTCCTTCCTTCCTTCCTTCCTTCCTTCCTTCTCTCTTTCTTTCTCTCTTTCTTTCTTTCTCTCTTTCTTTCTCTCTTTTTTTTTATCTTTCTTTCTCTCTTTTTTCTTCTTGGCAGACATTTAATTAGTTCGTTGTATCTACGTGTTTTTTATATATTGTGCTTTATATTCAGCCTTCTCCAATTGAAAATTATCTTGTGACTGACCCCCCCCCCCCTCCCGCCCTCCTAACAACCCTACCCCCATCTGCCCGCCCCCAACAAAACGGTAACGGCGCCACTGGTGCCTTATCAAGAGTAACTGGTAAACGTAGTCTGAATTCCCGTGTAATAAACGAATTATGTAAACCATATCCAACTGGATGTTTGTATACCAACTGGATGTTTGTATACCAACTAGATATTTGTATACCAACTGGATGTTTGTATACCAGCTAGATGTTTGTATACCAACTAGATGTTTGTATACCAGCTAGATGTTTGTATACCAGCTAGATGTTTGTATATCAACTAGATGTTTGTATACCTACTAGATGTTTGTATACCAACTAGATGTGTGTATAATGAATCTGGGCTATCAGGTCGACCTGGCGTTTTAGGGTACTAGGTACTGTTTCAAAAAGTAAAGACGGTCAGCGCGATTTTCTTCATCTTTCTTCTTCGCGTCCGCCAGCTGTAAACTCCAGCGGAAAGTTCTGGCTGTTCGTCCACGTCTGGCTTTTAGTTTTCTTCTAGAACCTCAGTGTTGCGTGAACATCCGTTTTATCAATCTGACTAATTTGTATGCAGACTGCTGGTTCGTTGCATCTCATGCAGATGCACTATGGCTTTGAAAGAAGCTCCCAGTTAGACGACTCTAACAACAAGTTTGTTATTAGGGCAGTGGATCTTATTCTTGATTCCCCCCCCCCCCTTTTCCCCCGCCCCGGCACAAGATGGACCCCGCAACCCACAGGGGTTCATATGCACACCGCAAGGGAAGAGAAAACGGGGAAGATCAAGGGACCTTGCCTAGAACCATAATCAGGGAAGGTTCAACCATGGGCCTAATGAACATCCAAGATCTAACACAGGTGGCAACGAACTGCTAGACATGGAGAGCTATAACCTCTGCCCTATGACCCGCCTTAGCCTCAAGAGGCAATAATAATTAAATAACTAACCCACATTGAAAAGCGTAATTGTGACCACATATCCTGGCGAGCACTAATTAGCTTTAGAATGTACCTAGCACCATATGTCCTGGGCTCCAATGAGATAACGGGGCCATGTAATTTTGTGAACTTTAGGACATCAACTTTCACAAAAGCATTTGCCGGAGACAGAACACCTATATGGTGTCTCCACCGACCATAAACCCCGGAGCTGGAGAAGCCAGGTAAGTGTACACCGCATACGTAGTCACTGCTGTGTTATTTTGAAGAAGAAGAAGAAGTAGGAAAAGTAAGAGGATGAGCAGAACAAGGAGGAGAAGGACAAATTGAGGTGGAGAAGAAGAAGAAGAAGAAGAAGAAGAAGAAGAAGAAGAAGAAGAAGAAGAAGAAGAAGAAGAAGAAGAAGAAGAAGAAAAAAGAAGAAGAAGAAGAAGAAGAAGAAGAAGAAGAAGAAGAAGAAGAAGAAGAAGAAGAAGAAGAAGAAGAAGAAGAAGAAGAAGAAGAAGAAGAAGAAGAAGAAGAAGAAAACAGAAAACAAACGGAGAAATTTAAAACAACTAGTGCCGACCGATCTGGCACTGAACGCTCATACTCTTATACAGTCAGCGAGCAAGGAATCGACCACAAACCCGCGGAAACAAACCGGTCGCTTCAAGTGGGACATCAAGCTGAACCGCCAGCGAGCAAGCCAAAGAAAGCTAGCAGCAAATCGGACAAAATGAATCACGAAAGACTCAAATTGAAGAAAAGTTTCACGTTAACAGATGCTATCCGTCAATGGGAGACAGGTCGTCAGAGGCTGGCCCTCGTTAATCGCATCGATGGGAAAAAAAAAGGGGGGGGGGGGGGTCACTGATGATTACGCTGGGATTTTTTGTACGGGGGAGGAAGAGGTGGGGGGGGGGGGGGGGGGGGGGATCGCAAAATGTCCTATTTCCCCAGACTTTGACCGTTTCTTCTGAGTTTCCGTGTTTAGGGAAGACTGATGTGCCGAAGGCACTAAAACGTAGCATGTTATGATTATTGTAAAAACCCATAACAAAATAACAGAATACAGCATTTGTACGTAATGAAAAATGAGAACTAGGGCACTTCTCTCTCTCCGTCTCTCATTCTCTCTCTCTCTCTCTCTCTCTCTCTCTCTCTCTCTCTCTCTCTCTCTCTATCTATATATCTCTCTCTACCTACCTACCTACCTACATACCTACCTACCTACCTACCTACCTACCTACCTACTTACCTACCTACCTACCTACCTACCTACCTACCTACCTACCTACCTACTTACCTACCCACAGACCTGTCTGTCTGTCTGTCTGTCTGTCTGTCTGTCTGTCTGTCTGTCTGTCTGTCTGTCTGTCTGTCTGTCTGTTTGTCTGTCTGTCTGTCGTCGGTCGGTCTTTCTGTCTATCTGCTCTCTGTCTCTCTCTGTCTCTCTCTCTCTGTGTCTTTTACCTCTCTCTGTCTTTAACTTCTTTTTTTTTGCATTTCTTTGTCTTTTTCTGTGCCCCTTCAACTGTCTATCCTTGCATATTACAGCAATACTTAAATGTAGTGGCGTAGCAAGGTTAAGGGATGCCCGGTACACAGCAGGCGTGAACAGGCGCGCGCGCACGCATGCGCGCGCGCACACACATACTGCATACATGAATAGACACAAATTACAGATCTGCAAAGATATACACACTAACAGGCATACACGACTAGTGGCACACATTAAAGATACACATCTACACACATACTACATATGTAGCAATATTGAAGATATTTACCAAAGATATATACAAAAACAAAAAACAAAAAAGGCTGTGAACCTATTAAATACATAAAACATTACAGCTTTGTAAATATAATATACACTTACTACAGACATATATCACATGCACGCACATGTGTCAGGTAAAATAAATACGCACTACACACATACACATTAAGAAGAACGCATTCTCGACAGTACCATAGACACACTCAAAACAGAAGTTCATCTTGGTTGTTTATAGACTGATTTATACCTTTTTAAACTGATATTATTTATGTAGTACATCTGTTGCTGCTGATAATATCACTACTCCTTATGTTACTCCTCGTAAAACAACAACATTAACAACAACCACTACTACCACTGTTACCACATCAGATAACGCTACTAATTATATTTCTTATAGTACTACTATTGGTACAGATACGGCTGCTACTACTGCTACACTACTATACTACTACTACCACCACCACTACCACTACGACTACTACTACTATTGCTACTGCTGCAACTGCTACTACTACAAATGCCATCAGGACTTAACATAAACTAACAAAACGCATCAAAGAAGAGAGATAGAAAAGAAGTGAAAAATCTTCTTTTGTATGTTATTGTTTACTTCTGTCGTGTTTACTGCTGTAGTTTTGCAGCCGCAACATCCACGTAAGTTTTGGTGCATTTCTGGTTAAACTGCACCTCTCAGCTTCTTTTTCCACAGCGACACTTTGAGTTGACATAACTTTGTGTGTGTGTACCGTACAACTCTTAGAACACTCACCTCTGTCTGCACTTTAGACAACAAGTACACTAGATTAAAAAAAAAAAAAAAACAGATCCTACACAGACTACAAGGACACAGATAATGTTTTGTGTTTTCACAAATAAAATACTAAAGAATAACAGTAAAAACAAACACAGTCAACTTACCCAGCATTGTAATAGTTAATCCAGTTTTAGAAACCAGTTTATATGAATCAGTGACAGTAAATAAACAGTCCAGATTTAACGTGTGTCTGATATTTTCCTCAGCAAACTATTCCACCTTCTGCCCCGGTCCTTGGAATATTTCACGTGAGCACAGGTAGAAGAAAGAAGCCTACAGTAAGGCGAACCTGCAGGCACATGCACGCACACGACTCACACATTAGTCACACTAGAAAATCGTGCACGTCTACTCAGCTCCGAGCGATCCGGGGGAAGCCAGCGTCACTTTTTCAAGTTAGCCTCACCTCCACACACGCACACACAGGCAGATCGCCCGCACTTTGCTTCCCCCGAAAACGCAGTGTTTGTCTAGTAAACAGATTTCGCAACTTGCAGGCTGGGATACGAACCCTTCAGCATGGGGTTTCTCCAATCAGCAAATGCGGGCTGATAATTTTTACCAATCAAAGCTAAAATCCCAAAGGGGACACGGCTGTTTTCATTGTAAATGCTCACTATGCAAAGTAACATATTTCATTCATTTTCTAGGAACAAAACGCTTCGGCCAAACTGGCCTTTCTCCTGCACACACGTTGTGAAGGGATGTCACGGTTTCATCTTCAGTGGAGGCAATATCCAACGCTTAGGGTTTCTATATTTTGTGCCACTAAATAGCTCGTTCTAAATGTATAGGAATAATGACATCACGGCGAGATCTGTTGTCATTCTGCAGAACAATGACATCTGATAATGTCATTGTCGCTGTTGCTGGGTGTGCATGATGGCATTTCGCGGGGATGTAATATGTAATTGTCGTCGCTAATGATAAGTGTTAATATTAAATATACATTGATACAGTAAACAAAGGAGTAGGAAGGAGAATTCGTTTCACAATGAATGCTGCAATCTGTCTGTTTGTCTTTCTGTCTGTCTGTCTGACTGCCCGTATGTATGTATGTATGTATGTTGCCCGGCTCTCTAGCGGAATTGGCTAAACCGGCTTTCGCGGAGACCGGGTGACGTACTCCTTGTGGTCCGGGTTCAATCCCGGGGGTAGGCAGGAAAGCCACATTTTCTCCCAGATTTACGGTATTTACAATGGAATCAAGGCCGAAAGGTTGCGATATCCATAATACCGAGCCTAAGGGTTAACAACTCATGGCTTCTGGATACTGAAACAAACAAACATGTA